CATAATTAAAAAAGTTTGGAAAATCAAAATTGATAAAGTTTCAAGTTTTTTTCAAATGCATGCCTCAAATAACTTGCCTCATACCAAATAGCTAAATGGAAAAGCTTTTGAGCCCAATTGAATCGCCGCCCGAAAATAATAGAACCAAATAAATTGCGTTTCTTGTCCAATTTATTCATTGCAAGTTTTCAAACAGCTCTAAATTTACCAAACATAAACATGGGTGAAACATGTTTATATTTTGTGCTGAAGGCGTTAATATTTTTCAGATGTAAAATTCCATATACACGAAATTGCACTTAAAAAAGCAAAAAGTAGTCAAAAAGTCCAAGGAAAAGCCAAACCCAGCACAAATCCTCTAGCTTTTTTAGAAAGTTGTAACAAAAAATAAGCAATTTATTTGAGCTCAGTTCATGTTAAGCTTGTATGACAAAAAAAAATTTTTCTCAGGTCCAATGGAATCAATTTATCACAAATTGGTCCGTAAATGAAAAACGGGTGTTTCTAGGCACCCAAAAAAATGTGCACATTCAGACCAAAAGTGTAATAATTTCCTTGCAATATATTACTTAGCCTTATCTCGAGTTTATTTGTGCTACTTGGTTTTGCAGTGAAGAAAAACACGATTGAGTCCAATTTTCTTTAACCATTTTGTTGTCGGAACAGTTAGTTATCTTGAAATCGGTTATGTCACTAGCGCCCTAGAGAGAATTAGGAATTGACACTCTCAGCACAGAATCATGATCATCTTTAATAATGACATTCAGAGAAGCTTACACTTTTAATAATATCAGGGGCAGAAAAGTTTTTTAGTTCTACAAAAGCAATATTGAAACAGGCAAAATCCTTTCGAAAATGTTGAACGTTTTGTAGATCAACTAAAGATAAGCTCAATTCGCTTATCAGTTTTCTGTTAAATCTGAACCGCAATATTAAAACAATTAGACCTAATCAGTTTTCAATGCGTGCAATTGGTACAATCGTATCGCAAAACCAAGCTGCCTTGGAGTAAAAGGATCAGGAACAGTTGTTCATAATGAACTTTCTTCCAATCTACAATGATAAAATTATACAAAACCGTAAGCTTTGTCAAACAATTCCAAGCATTTCAAAAACACATTTTTTGGCTAGAAAAATTGTCGGGTCAAAATTTGACAAAGGCAGAAAGTCCCACGGTATTCTTGATATTGGTCTGGGTCCAAAAAAACTCATTATGAATATAAAATATGACCAGTGTTCCTTGTTTCTTTCTGTAAAAGCAATTTTTTGCAATCGTTAAGCAGATTTAGACTTAACTTTAGTTATATGCGCAAATCAACTCTTCTTCGATGTTCACTCTAAATATGCCTGAAAAATAAAATTTTCTACGAATTCTCCCCTGGCACGCACAAAAAAGTTTCACAAAATTTCACTGCAACTCGAACTACAACAGAAAAAAAAACTCATTTTGACATATCACACAGCCAAAAAGTGAAGTTGTGGAACCTGGTTGCAAAAAAAACACAATTAAGCTCGAGCTTCTTTCCAATTTTGTATTCGGATCAGTTAGTAATCCTGCTGTCCATTATGTCTACATTGGGTTTAGCGAAAATCTACTCTCTCACCGCGGTATTAGGATGCGCCACACTGACTTTTGAAATAAATATCAGATCTATGTACTTTTTACGATATGAGAGATAGGAAAATTCTACTCATGCAAAACCAAGCTTGATCACAGCTGAAAACAGTTCGAATACGTTGAGCATTAACGAAAACATGGTTCGACCCGAGGTTGTGGTGCTCAGTAATCGCTTATCAATTTCAGTCTCTTCGAGATGAACTGAATCTCTTCGAGATGGACTTCCTTGCGTTCAGTTGGAATAAGCCGTGTCTCAAAATGCACTAAGACAGTAGCAGATGTAAGGGGAGGTTTTTTTTAACTAACGCTCCTCCCTCCCCCCTCCCCCCTCCCCCACCCCCCTCCCCCTCAGGGTTTCTATCCCCTGACAACCCAAAGGGTCCGCCTTTGCCACTATTTTAAGACATCCATTTTTGGCTGACCGAATCTTTTTGTAAAGGCGCCTTTGACGCTAATGAATACCAAATTTGAGGGGCCAGCGCGTGCCAATAAAAGGCAATTTTTTGTCAAAAATTTCCAAAAAGGGCCAAAAATACAATTTTGCAGACAGTTGTTTTTCTTGAACTTGCCTGCAGCGCAGAAAGTTTGGGTAAAATAGGGTCTCTGCTGTGATTTGGTAGAGCTCGGATAATCAATTTGATTGACCTAAAAAAGTCGACAAAATTCTCGAGAGTTACTGAGATGTAGAAAAATCTGGAGCATTTTTATAAATCAAACTAAAATGGAATGTTTAAAAATAACAACAATTTTTGATCTTTTTTTTCAAGTTCAAACATTGTGAAAGCTATTACTGAACAAATTTTCGGTATAGAATCTGTGAAATTTCTAAACTACCAGTGTTCTTTATTGACATGCCAAGAAAAAAATTGAAGGGAACGCGCGCAAAAACTTTCGTTAATCAAAATGTTGACAATCTTGTATCATGCGTTTTAGAAACGATTTTGAAAAATTCGCCAGCGGCGCAGTTTTATATTGGAGAATTTTATTTGGTGTTTTAGGAGAGCTCAGAAAACCAGAGCCAGAGTCGTCCTAGATTCTGACTATCGTCAAAGTAGAGCAAATGAGGGTGGCATTTGGATTGATTTAGGGTCAACGATAAGCTGATTCATGCTTAAATTTGTACTTACGATAAATTAGTTGCGATTTGAAATAAGAAACAACTTGCTAAAAACAGTTTCCCCGATAAAACCCGCACAAGGCGCCCATGGATCATAGTCGATTATATTGTCATAATATGATCGTTATCTATAAAATTACAAAAAAATGGGTTATAATCCATTAAAAACGAATAATAATCCTAATAAATTTTATGTTAATTTAATCCATAATAATCGATTATCATGATGGGTCGACAGGCGGTCGAATCCCTGAGGGTCGGCAGCGGGTCAAATCCCTGTTAAATCTGACAAGAAATATAAAAACAATTAGACCCAATCAGTTTTCAATGCGTGCAGTTGGTACCAATCGTATCGGAAATTGAAAAAAATGGGCTAAATTATAAAAGGGCTAGGAGCAGTTGTTTATAATAAACTTTTTTCTAAGCTACAAGGATATTATTATACAAAAACGTAAGCTGACTTTGGGTCGGCAGGGTGTCTAATCCCTCAGAGGAAAAACGAAGCCTCTGCCAACCCTCCCCCCCCCCCCCACCCCCCTAAATCCGCCCCTGTTATCATCCATTAAAAATGGATTATATTCTTGAAAATGTTTGTGCCAATATAACCCATTGTGATCTACTATAATCGATTATATTGGATTTTTTCGACAGGTTATTAGGAAATTTACAATTGTTTCCAAAATTAGCTCATTTCCTGTTCAGTGCAGTTGCTACGTATTACATTCCTGATGATACATTTTGTCTCTAGTTTTAAATTCATCCCAGCTTAACACTTCAATTTACTGTTTTTTACCACATCTGGGGGGGGGGGGGGTAAGGTTTGAATAGCGGGGGAACAACTTAATAGTGGAATGGGGGTGGTTGAATGATTAAACCCTCCTCAGTTTAACCCCCCCCCCCTGTTTAACCCCCCCCCCCCCCTCTCTCTCCTCCCAATTTTACCGCAACCGCCATTTGCCACCCTTATAGTTGAACAGGGGGGATGTTTTATTATTAGAATTGGGGAGCGGGGTTAATGATTGAGACTCACCCAGTTTATCCCCCCTCTTTAGTTGCGGGTAGTAAAAAAACTGGAGGAGGTGACATTGAGGCATTTAGTAGAAAATATAGCCTACATTTTGCATTTGTTGCAAAATTTGCAAAGTTTCTGCAAACATAATCGAATTTAGTTCTAAAAACAAATTGATTTAAATTGATTTATAATCGATTATAACGGATTATCTTGGCAAAATATTCAATTTAAATGCCCAAAAAATGGACTACAATCTACCATAATGGGTTATAAGGGATTAAATTTTTTTAGATAATTGATTATAATGCAAGTACAATCGATTTCGGAAACTGATTTTTACAACTTCAGTGGATTATAATGGGATATTTTGGTCTCGGGAATCCATTATAATCAATTATATCAACCGCTATTTGCCACCCTTAGAGTTGAATAGGGGGGAAATTTTATCATTAGTATTGGGGGAGGGGGGTTAATGATTGAGACCCACCCAGTTTATCCCCCCCCCCCCTCTTTAGTTGGGGGTAGTAAAAAAAATTGGAGGAGGTGACGTTGAGGCGTTTAGTATCAGATATGGCCTAAATTTCGTATTTTTTTTTTGCAAAGTTTGCAAAATTTCTGCAAAAATAATCCAATTTATTTCTAAAAATAAAATCATTTATAATCGATTATAGCGAATTATCTTGGCAAAAATATTCGATTTCAATGTCCAAAACAATGGACTAAAATCATTTAATGGATTAAAAGGAATTAAATTTTTTTAGATAATCGATTATAACCACAGTACAATCGATTTCGTGATCTGACTTTTACAACTTTAGTAGATTATAGTAGAATATTTTGGTCTCGGGAATCCATTATAATTAATTTGAGTTCATGGGCGCTCGGTGCGGGATCGGTGGTTAAAGTTGGTTCTCAACTCAAGTATGAGAACCATGTTACTCACGCATGTACACGCCTTCAATGTTTTTTCTTTCGCATGTTGAAAGAAGCTTGTTGTTTCTCGTAAAGCAAATGGTTCTTAAAAAAGCTCTCAGAAAAGTTAGATTTGGTCGAAAAAAAAACTAAGTTAAACTATGCAAAAAAATATGAAGAAGACTTTTTTGGGTTCCCTATGGATGTCAACTTTTCGAGAAGTGGGTCTCACGCCCATTCTGATTTTAGAAATTGTTTTTTACAGGAATTCGCTCCCCTCCGAGATTGAGAACTTTTCTCTTTGGAAAGTCCAAAGCCCTTTTTTTTAAAAAAAAACTTACCATGAGATCAGCACATGCGAGTGAGACTATAAGATAGTTGGTCTTGCTTCTCAGATTATGAACTGTTTTCACCGCCAGAATTGTGATCACGTTTCCCAGAAGGGTTACTATGCTGATCACAAACAACACCATCGCCAGACTGATGTTGTAAATTTTGTCCGCCAACGAAAGTGTTTCGGAATCTGAGACATTTTCCGAATAAAATTGGGGGCTCGAACTTTGAAGCATATCAGAGTCGTAAAAAGTTGACGGTGCTTCTTGCTGCAAGGCAATGGAATTTAAACTTGTCAAGTTCAAGAGTGACATGTTTTTGACGCAATCGTTTTCTGATATAATGTTTATAACGGCTTCGGAACTATTTATATGGGAATTAAAAGATAAAAGGAAAAGAGGTAATTTATTTTTATTGAACTGGAGGTAATAAACTGGAACGAAAGAATTGTTTGATTAGAGTAAAAACTGTTTAGGCTAGACTAGTCTCAAGATATATGCACAATCAAATTGCAGTCACAATTTGAGGACAATAAAAAAAATTGTGTGCTATGAATGAATGAATAAGTGCGAGAAAAACGTAGACCAGCAAGCCAAGCAAATTTTTATATCAGAAAAAAAGATAGTTTTTGGGCGAGTTCGAGTTCGATGGAATGTATAATAATGATAAGATTCCAAGTAGAGCTTACATCTTAATTTGGTTTGCAGATAAGCTTATCGATTTTTCGTCATCTTTTTGTGCGAATTTACCTGTTTTGTTAATCAAAAATTGATCACATGATTTGTCCAAGTTATAAAAATGAGCAAAAATGTTTTTACCTGTAGGGCTCACTAGAAAAGGCGTATACTGTTCATGTGGATTTCAAACAAATTATCCCTAAATAAGCCTGTTATACAACCCAAAATATATAAAACCCTGGGTGGTAAATGCTGTAACTAATAAAAATAAATATATAGTCAAATTAATCTTTATATAAGACGGACAAACACGCTTTAATTATTTTATGAAATTTTGTGCTCTTTTAAGTGTCAAATCGATTAGGAAGACAACGATTGAACTCAAAAGTAAAAATAAAAGCCACCAATCAATTCTGAATTGAATTCTAGCACAGCCTTTATTCGGGCTTACTTTTCCTCAAAAATTCGTATGAAGAAATTCCTTTTAAAATGCTATCAATGATGATAAAACATGTTTAGAATAGTCAATTCTTCCGCTAGCCAATTAAGTCATATTATTGTGAGCCTAAATTTTACTAGTAAAGTTTTCAAGTGAGGCGAAAATGCATCGTTTTTCAACAAAATGTTCAAAAATTTCAGTTTCCTGCGTTTAAATCCTGAGAGGGCGGAAATCAAAAAATATGGCAGTCTTATTGAGTTGAGATTTTACGAGTGGAGACTCTCTCGCCTAGAAGAAAAAAGTGGGTGCGCTAAGCCGGGATTTTTCATCAAATCCTTAAAAAGCGCTGCTATTTACCATGCAGATTGTCCCTCGCGACCTTCTCGTATAATAATACAAAGAACGGATGGTCATCTCAGTCTATTGATGACAAAATTGAAGCGCTAAGTTATAAAATAAAAAACTGAGACAGAATGACGAAAAAAGCTGATTGGTTTATTTTAAAGTAAATTTTAAAAATTACATGCAACAATAATCGAATGGAAAATCGCAATATGTCCACCAAAAACTTATTAATCCCCTGCTAAAAAGATAAGCATAAAAACGAAAATTGTTGTTGCCTTTTTTTGCTAAACTCGTCAAAATTATCCTTTTAAAAGTCTGGATGTTTTATTATCTGCCAAATGTACAATGAGTTATTTCATAAAACTGACTTTGCTTAAAAAAAAACGTTTTAGCATCTGCTGTCTTGCAAAACTGTTGAAAATTCGAGATATCAAGCCATTTGTGCAACTTTTTTTTCCATCGCGTGACTTAAAATTGCTCCCAATATCTCTTTTGATCAGCGTAGTAAAACGATATGTCAGCACACGCGGTTTTTCGCTTGAAAAAAATGAAAAACTGATCGAAATATGATGAAAAGGAAAAAAAACTTGCTAAATTTGATGAATCAGGGAATACGATTTGGTATAAGATTTGGTATAAGATTGAATCAGAATAGGATTCGTCTCAACAAAGAAACACTCAAACTGGGAGATCAAAATAAATGAATCTTTTTGGCAGATAGTTTGAGCAAATATCCTCAAAAGAAAATTCTGTAATAGCTTACATATGTGCCAACTTTTGATATATTCGTTAACAACTCAAAATTGTTTAACTAGTGTTTTTCAAATTCTTCACCAAAGTGATCAAATTTGCGGTTCTATTTACATTTAAATTAGATTCATTTGTAAAATAATATTACATTTTAGTTTTCTAAAATTGCATTTTTTCAAAGTCCTTGTTCTTTGAGGAGAATTGTTTGAGGATTGCTTATCTTTGCCAGGAGGATTCATTTTTTTCATCTATTCGTCAGAGTGCCAGTTTTTGTTTCTTCATCGAGAAGAATATAAAAACAATAATAATCATAATAATCATAATAAGTTGTTTGCAATGTAGATTCCATTCACTGTGAAAATTAGTAGATTTACAACCAAATGAAATCTCATTGCGGGAGCGCCGTGAAAATTGGCAGCCGGTTTTCAGGCGGCTCTGATCTTGCTATGACTTCTGTTGGTTTGTAAAATCGATAGTTAATCAATAAATAAAAAAAATGATTTGGTGAAAATAAACAAAAAAAAATTTGAATCAAAAAAGTAGAAATTTCAGCAGTATGCCTACCCTTGACAGCAAAATTCCTTTTAAATACTATTTCTATTCAAAAATGAGTTTAACCAGTTGATCATTTCCTAGCATAAAAATGTCCAAAAACTCATGATTAAAAACTTGTAATTGCGAAATCTGGGTAGTTTTTTGAACAAGTTGAAAAGTTTTCCAATTCAAACATTTATCAAAGTTTTTTTTATTACTCTTTGAATGCACAGGTATCTACCTAGCTTAAGTTTTTTATTGAAAATTGTATTCAATTTTTTTTCAGTTACAGCTTCCTGGATTATGGCTGATGTGCACTCTTTTCTCACAACCTTACCTAGTAACTTTAATAACTCATAGATATGTATTTCCTTCACAAAGTATAATTTTCGTTTTTGTCTTATTTCTACTACGCTCTCATTTCTTCTCTTAAAACAAATAATTTTCAAAAATTGTTTGATTTTAAGTTCAATTGTTTCTAATTAGTTTTGTCTGTTGGCGCATAAGCCAAAACGCCGCACTGTAAAATGGGTTTCACATAAGCGCTATATGCTTTCACTAGGTGATCTTTACCTAGAATTTTTCTTAACCTGTAATACATACCACAAAATTTCGACAATTTTTTTTAAATTTTTGTAATATGATCAAAAAAGTGAAGCTAAAAACCATTTTAAACAGCTAAGTTAAGGAACGATTGTTTCTCTTTAATAGTTATTCCTTTCATTTTTCTGTCTGGTCTTCCGCTGCTCTTCTTGGTTACTATCATATTTTCTTAACTTCGTTTAAGCATTTAGGGTCCGCTTGTTTTTTTCTTACGAACCTTCCAGCCAAACTTTCCCATGCTTCACATATTTTTGTTTGAGCATAGCCCTACTGGGAACAATACACTTTTTAAAGAATAATTTGCAAGGTTTCAGCCGGTAATTTGTATCTCTTGTATTTGAAAGCATAACTATTTTCCAAATTTGGCATTTTGCCGGTTGCTGTGGAAGTAACACATAATATTCCGACCATCTCATTAAGTTTGTTTTTAAATCAAATTGCGTCACTTTTGGTGTGATATGAGGATCTAAACAAAAGCTAAAAGTTGTGATAGTAAAGACCTTTTGGAGTTAGGACAATAGAACAGTTTTTTTCCTAAAATGTATAGAAAGGTAAAAAACAATAATATAAGCAAAATAAAACGATAAAAATTTTGCCAGGCAACAATATCATTTTAAAACAAAAAACTAAAAAGTTTAAGGAAGTTATGTGTATCCTTTTTAGCTAAGATTTGTAAATAAATTTCAAAATAATTGTTTTGCAAATTCAAACAAGAACAGATGGTTGCTTTGCAAGCAGCATATAATATTCCGACCATCTCTTTCAGTTTTTTTTTCAAACTGCGATATTTTTGTTTTCGATAAGATGAAAAATTCTACATAAAAGCAGGGAACTTTGATACAAAGTAGTTTGGGATTGGGAAAATAGGACAATTTGTTACGTATAAAAAAGTAAAACCAAAAAACAATACAAAATTTTACTAAAAAAAACATCATTGCCGGGGAACAAAAATTTTTAAAGCAAAATCTTATGTTCCAGCAAACAATTCGTACCCTTTCCAGCAAAAATTGATCATCAAACTTTATATGAGAAGTTTTGAAAAATAAACAAGACTGCTCTTATCAGGGCAAAGCCTTGAATGTTCCGACTACCTTTTAAGGTCTAAGGAGCTGCAATAACATAAAAAATAAGTAAAATAAGCATAACATAAAGTATGTAATAAAATAAAATGAATTTTTTGTTCTAAAATTTGAGATTTTTTGTAAAAATCATCTCCCTACACGCCATAGAAAGTACAAAAGGATATATTTTGCCGCTTTTAACAAATCAAAAACGGCAAATAAGCTACTTTCTGCTAATTTGGAACGATTTCTAAGACGGATTAAATCTCCGCTCACGAGCTAATAGCGCGAAATATATCGCGCGTTAATTGTCCCAAATTGGCCAAAATGACAATCTTTAAACCCCCATAATTTTGCAGAAAAAGATCACAGGTGAAATATGGTCTATGTTGATGATGAAGCGTACACCGAAAAAAAATGTCATATTATTTGAAAAAAGCAATGAAAAATTATCATTTTCAACACTGAATTTTGTTCTGAAATTTATTTCTAAAAACAAAACATGATAATAAAGTGCAACAAAAGCGAACTATTGAAGTTTAAAAACAAATATTTTCTTCCATACTTTTTTCGGGATAAATTGTACATAGGGTAACCAACCAGTTCTAGATAAGATAGAACGTAAAATAAAGTTCTCAGCGTCGCTTCAACCGGTTGAGCTACCTTCTAAAATTCGTACTCTCATTGCGATATCTGATTTTTCGTGGAGAATACAAATCTCCTCTGAACAAGAATTGCTGCATGAGACTTTAGTTCTGTCTTGTTTATTACAAAGTTCCTCACCTTTTCTTTCAAGATGATCGGAACAATAATTGCTGCAAGTGAAACTTGAGGCAACATGAGAAACTTGATAACCACAGCCAAAACTTGTGGGGTCTAAAAAAGACTTCGTATAGCAAATGACGAAAATTGAAAAATTTGGTTGCTGTTGGGCTCGGATGCAACCCAAAAACTCAGGACAGGAGGCTCTTTTCCAGTTCCCCCCCTTTCAAATTCAACTTTGAAAGCTTATTTAACCTTGTCATAATGCAATGAAAGCATAACTTTTTTCCAAATTTGGCATTTTGCCGGTTGCTGTGTAAGTAACACTTAATATTCCGACCATCTTATTAAGTTTGTTTTTAAATCAAATTGCGTCATTTTTGGTGTGATATGAGGATCTAAACAAAAGCTAAGAGTTGTGATAGTAAAGACCTTTTGGGGTTAGGACAAAAGAACAGTTTTTTTCTTAAAATGTATAGAAAAGTAAAAAACAATAATATAAGCAAAATAAAACGATAAAAATTTTGCCAGGCAACAATACCATTTTAAAACAAAAAATTAAAAAGTTCAAGGAAGTTATGTGTATCTTTTTTAGCTAAGATTTGTAAATAAATTTCAAAATAATTGTTTTGCAAATTCAAACAAGAACAGATGGTTGCTTTGCAAGCAGCATATAATATTCCGACCATCTCTTTCAGTTTTTTTTTCAAACTGCGATATTTTTGTTTTCGATAAGATGAAAAATTCTACATAAAAGCAGGGAACTTTGATAAAAAGTAGTTTGGGATTGGGAAAATAGGACAATTTGTTACGTATAAAAAAGTAAAAAAAAAAACAATTCAAAATTTTACTAAAAAAAACATCATTGCCGGGGAACAAAAATTTTTAAAGCAAAATCTTATGTTCCAGCAAACAATTCGTACCCTTTGCAGCAACAATTGATCA